GGCGGGGGGGGCGGCGCAGCCGAGGCCCCCCAGGGGTCCTGGCAAGGGGCAACTTCCGAAAATGGTCGATTTAAATATGGGGGGGTACCACTTACAAAATGACGGTACCCTTACCTAGGACTCGTCCCTAGATCACGGCTACAACTTCTGGCTACGTGACAACAGTTGTCAGAGACACCTGGCACAATGACGGCACAATAGTCGGTGACGGAGCATACCGTATACCCGTACAACCAACTTGAAGGTAGGTAGGTACCTACCGTATGCATACCTATGTACCGTGACTCCAAATGCCTAAAAATGCAATATATTTAGGTAGCAGATGCGAGCCCAAATGATGTATTATATTATCTCGAAAATTCTGTGAACCTGAAAAGGAAGCTGAGAGAGCCTCATGATAGGGTTGTTACATTAGAGATTTTGCGATCGAAAAACGGCCCGAGACCCATCAGCCGGACCTCCGGCTGACCTCAGCCTGAAAGAAATCTTGATCGGGTTGCCCACAACCCGATGCCCCTCAGGTCGGGCACTTTACGACCCGACCCGACATTTGCCCGAGCCCCCGACCCAAATCGGGGCCTCCGGCAGCCGCAAAATTTTGGCAATGTAACCAATAGGCCATTTGCCCGAGCCTGATCGGGCTCGGGCCGTCCCGGTTGGAGACTTTTCTCGCTCAAGTGTAACAACCCTATCAGCCTGAGACTTTGAGAGGTACCAAATTGTGCAGGGACCCTTCATCATCACTGTTTCTTCATGACATCAGACTTGCGAACAGGTATCTCGACTCTTCCGTCCATCCGTCGTGCGGTCGGTTGGCGGAAGCGGTTTGCCGGATTCCGCTCGTTCCGGGTCGGGAACAGGACTCATGAAGTGGAGGGACGGAACCAATTTTCCAGCGCCCCTCGGCCTCGCATTATATAATAAGCGTATATGTATTGTATTGTATTGTATATGTATAGGTTATCCAACGAGTGCGAGAGAATATCGAAGTTTCGCGTCGAACGAGAGCGGATATTCCACGAGGGCCTCCGAGGCCCGAGTGGAATATGAAGCTCGAGTTTGACGCGAAATCTTCGCTATGCTCGAGCACGAGTGAGGGTAACCGACTTATCGCACGACCGGACTCTGATGCATCGTCGAACCTGGTAAGGGTCTAGCGTTTATTCAACGGCTGAGCGTTGAATAAACATATATATTCACCGCTGGGGTCGCCAACGAAATTCGACGCCGAAACTTTCCTAATACTCAACGCCGAAATGGCTGAGCGCAAAAACCGGTCGTGGGATAAGTAGTACCGGGCCGCGCATCTGCATACCTCTGTTTATATATTTTCCAGAACAGGATTCAGCATTTATTTCCGGTATTGGAAAAAGCGAAGTCCGACCTGAGTCCGACTGCTAATATCCTGAGTTTCAAATTTTCCGAGGGCAAATGAATATATGTTTATTTGGAATCATACCTTGATCGTACGGGTATTATTCCTGCTGACATCACGAAACGGGTGTTTTCAATTCGCTGCGAGAGAACATTCCTAGCTCTTCTTGCTGGAGACATTCGATTGTTCAACCTGTCAGGATTCGACGGACGCTAAGTAAGTGCCGTTGGTACTCGCAACCGGCTTTCCGTTCAGCCTTTCCGGTATCGACTATCATTCTGCGCTTTGCGGAGGAGCTCGCCGCTCTCCATTCCCTAGCTTTGCACTCTGGTTTGCGCCGCAAGTCGGTTAAACATGATTTACAGTCGAGCGCTGGAGCCTGGCTGCGTACCTGATGCGGTGTCTCAGGAGTTGACGGTGCCGTACCTGTACCGTTATCGACGACCGAGCGTGCCTCCTGGTGCCTCCCGACTCCCGAGTCCCTTCGCACATCGACGATTCTGAGGGGCGCGGCACGCAGACTCCGGAGGCAATGCGGAAGCTGGAATTGTACGGAGTTGACCCTTCAAGTCATCTTCAGAAAACATGAATTCATGAACATGAGCATTGTCAACTCTGGCTCGGATATGGCTTCGTGAAGTTTGGCTCCTCGGGAGTCGGGCTGGCCAGCGCATTGATTGGCAAACATGTTGCACATTAGTGATGACCAGCTTCTATATCATGTCAGCACTTCCTGATGGTTGTCATCAAAATCAAGTTTGATTCACCTGAACTGGTAAGTTTTGGACAACAGAAGTAGGCTCCTCCTGCAATGTGGAGCATTCTTGCATTGATCCCAACTTCGCTTTCATTCCAATCTCATTTTGTCAATCTGAGTCACTCCGATTTGTCATTTATGTCCTCTCGCCATGGCATGGGCTGCTCCTAAGCTCCTAGTGAACCAACAGCAACATGTCCGATGGATGAAATTCTGGACGCATCCTTTCAAAATTTAAGTAAAACGGCCACGACCTTCAAACTTGATTGAGTCCACCGCTCTCAGCTTGTGGTGAGCCTCGAGCCAGTGAGAAAAGACGTCCTTCCGTGCCTAGCTTGTATCGGATGTCGGCTTTGCTGATTCGTCATTTAAGACCATGATATGCGAACCCTCCAAACATGGGCAAACGGGTGGCAAAGATTGCAAAAGTACAGCCGTGTACAGGTGCACCTGGTTGAACACATGTTTGAGTATCTTGTCAGAACGTAGCTGCTGAGTGATCGATCAAGGGAAGTTCGACCATGCACGGTACAGTTTTGATCACTTTACCAAAATGGAAGCTTCTATTCTGTGAGTTATGTATGTAGGACAGTAATTAGTAAGCTCTGGTAACTAGAGGAACGAGCCTGAAGCGCGAGCACTACAGTAAGTATTAACCTAGGGCCATCATCAGTACATGAATTTTGTCGAATAGATGCAAACGGATCTTCGTGACTATAACTATCTAACGTTACGGCCTCATCTAGCTTTACATCCTACCTTAAGCATTTTGACTTTGAACACGCGCCGGTCTTTATAAAGAGCCGAAGCGCAACACGCTCTATCTGAAAGAACTCAACACAAAGTGTCCACTACTCCCACGTCGTTTGGCTGTGCATCGGTCTCCCTTCCGGTGTCCTCGATCCTGTCCTGGCAGTTCTCAGCAAACGTCACGCGCTTCGGACGAATCTTCGAGTCTGTCGAAGAAGACGAGGGCCGAGGCCACGAGCCCCCTACACATTTCGACGGCAGAGCATTATTAAACACAAGACATAACGCGCCGTACACGTCGAAAGCATTTTCACGAGTTTCAGACCTGGAGACCATGGCAGCGTCGAAAGCTTGCGCTCGATTGCACAAGCTGAGTGCCCTCTGCTCAGGACTGTAATTCAGGCTCGTTCTGAGCAAGTCAAAGATCGTCGGCTTAGGCTTGAAACTTCAAAGTGCCCATCAAAAGGCCCTCTCTTTATCGGCCCTTCTCTCCGATTAGCTGGTATGATGGCCATGCTCCATTTGCTGTAAGGCCCAAGAAGGGAGGGCTAGCAGTAGTCAAAAAATTCCCTCAAAAAGAGTGTGCCACTCGGGTTCCTGGCTGCGAATTGAACATTAGCAGCAAAGCTACTTCGTTTCATTTTCGTGGCACGCACACAATGAAGGTTGTTGCGTGGTTTCAAACTTTCGCAACCACCCCGCTTTACCGGGCTCGTCCTGATGCAAAATATTCAGCACGAGCTCACCAGCGGTCGGTTCCCATTCCCCGGGCTGAATGTCGCCCATGTACTGGCTCATGCTTGAGTTGCTTCGTTGCTCGTCCCCGTCCGGAAAGCTTCCGCTGACATCGCTAGTCTCACGGACAAATCCTGCAGATTTGGAAAGTCGAGATCAACTCGGCACGAGATTTCCACAGAGTCTTCTTTGCATCTGAGGAGGCTCTCAGATGAAGCGGTTCATTGCGGTCACGGATGATTCTCAAGGAAGCGGTCCTCTTTTCTGACGACTGCTCGTTGATGCCGTCCCGTCACAAACGTCGTCAAGCGTCTCTCTTAAGAAGGGTGCGGAAACAATCTGCTTTTAAAATCCCGCTTTTGCCGGTTTGCAAATTCAATCCGGGTGTTGGTAAGAGGATACTCGCGTCCTTTCTTCGACAGCCTCAAAGTGGTTGTCTGCCGGCTTGGACGAACTGTCATCTGTAAGAACGGAAGGACGGAGAACATGGACTCCAAGGCGATTGTAGAGACCACTCCTAACTGTAACCCTCTCGGATCGACGGTCTGGATTGACGAATCCGCAAATCTTGACCGTCGATCGAAGAATTATAGTGAAAGGGGGTACCCAGGGAGTCCGCCATCCGTTCTGTCAGGTTCCTGGGACGGACTTTAGGGTTCACGTTCTGCGGCTCTCCTTACCCTCAGCGGCGGCCTTTCTCCGCTCCTTTTCCCGCTGGCTCTTTGCCAGCTGGCGCCGCGCGAAAGCCGCGGCCGCGGCGCGCTCCCTCACCAGCTTGAGCGCCATCCAGTCCCGCCGGACGCCCGAGCGCGGCAGGCGGGCCGCGACGGCCGCGCTACACAATGGAGTTTTGGCAGGGGTTTAGCAGGGGCTTAGGATCCGGAACACTGCGTTATTATTGTTTTTCATGCAAAGACTTGCAAGGAGCTTGAGCACTTCTCATTCAGGAGTGATTTAAACGCAGCCAACAGTGGCGAATTGGCGTTCGGATCACGTTGTACGGGCGGAGCTTTCGTGCGCCAAAGCAGGAAGCACTCGCGCCTTTCTGTAGCTTCCGTGTTAGTGATGAAGGGAAACAGTGACAGAAATGGATGAAAAGAGGGAAGAAGGGCCTGAGTACTTGATTGAAAGGGGGACGACGAGAAGTTAAAAGGTCCCGTGAGCGACAAAAGCGAAGCGGCAGAACATGCAATATGGAGTGCAGCTTAAGGAGAGAGAGTGTACCAATTCGCGGGTGGGAGAAGATATACTAATGGAAGGAAGCGAAAGGCTCACCCTTTCCGGCGTGCCGCAAAGAAGGACGGCGTGACGGGGTCCTCCTCCATCTCGTCGGCGATCTTGGCGGCCCGGCGTTCCGTCTCGAGGTCAAACGCCTGGTCGCGAGACAGAAAGAACCACTTAAATAAGAGGCGCGTAAAGAGGTATTTACTTCAATCAGAAATTTTTGGTTGAAAAGAGGGGTTGGGGGCGAGAAGAGAACAGCGTTAACGCAGCGAGGAATTCCGTAGTACAGCTTTAGAAAGCGTGGATTTGACGCGATGTACGTAACGATCAAGGCCCTCTGTGCTACTTATGCAGTACAGTGACGTGGCATGGTGAATCTATGCAACTCTCTTGAGATACTAGCAAAAGGTTTTCGGAGACCACGCGACCAAAAAGGAAGTCGGCTAAGCCTACTTTGAGTGCTCCGATCATCAAAGGAAGGTTGGAATTGTGCCAACCGCGTTGCGGGGAATTCTCAACTAAGCTCAACGAGATGCGGACGAACGCCCACGCTTTTCCATACACCAGATCTTACCTCTGTTCACACGTCCTATTCTAGAAGAGAAGTTCCCACCCAAGCAGTCGCAAGGGACCTGTTCATGGCGTTGAACTCCTTTTCCTTCTGGAGTTGACCAACCCGGACTTCTTCCTCCCATTCTTTTTGCGTTTCTATCCTCTACCTTCAAGCCTATCTTCTTTTCCATCTTCTGTCGATCCTGAATCGAACTTTCCGACTAGATCGACTTTCTGGAAACACGAGCTCGCCGGAAGTACAACAAACGCCTTAAGCCTACCTGAGCCACGGTCTTCTCCTTCCGAAACACTCCTCCTTCGGCCTTCTCGTCCGTGTCAAAATCCACCCCCTCGAACTCTTCCAGGGGGGCTCCCTCCGTGCTTTTTATGACCCCTCTCAGCGCAGCCGCAGTCAGATAGCTGATCTTCTTCGGCGACCGCAGGGGCCGCTTCGCGATGCCGCGGCTCCGCAACGCGCGGCCGGAAGGCGAAGACGCCTTCGGAAGGTACTCTCGCTCGAGGAGCTGCGGAGGTGACATCAGCGGGCGTGAGAAAGCTGAAGATGACGTCGCTCAAACAAGCATCACTCATTCGAACGCACTCAATTCATTCGGGCGCACTCGAGACTATTGCCGACGACATTCCTTGAGGGGTATACTCGAGACTATTGCCGACGACATTCTGGAGGGGTATAACAATCCCTCCTTTAGGTGGGAGCTCGCCAATCTCGACCGAAAGCTAATCACTCACCGACTTATTCCGGCGTATCTTGACTTGCAACCCGACCAACGGCCGCGCCTCCCAGCTTCCCGCATCAATTTGCACCGTGCTCTTCCACGCCCGCTCGAGGCCGGATTCCGTCCGTTCCGGCGGAACGAGCCCCAAGCTCCGCTGCTTCCGCAACAGCCACGCCGGCGGCGAGCTCGGCTCGTCGCTTTGAGTGTTCGCCACTTCCAGGGACTCCTCCGACACCAGAACCACGCCGTTACCGGAACCATTTCCGGCCCGGAATCCGTTTCCGTCCCGGTTCCGCGCGACGATCCCTTGGTACGCGGCGTCGAGGCTCCGCGGCCGCTCCGTCTCGCTGTCGCTGTCGCCCTCCGTCACGCTCCCGTCACACGAGGCGCGCGCGGCCGCGGGCGCGCTGGGGTGAATCGGCCTCGCGTCGTCCCCCGGGGTTTGGGGGTTTAGCACCTCCGGCATGTATTCGTCGTCACTACTACTGCGATCCGTGGCCTCGGCCGCCGGCGCCTGGGCCGGGTTTCCGTTGTCGCTGAGCCGCAGTTTCTTCACGAGGAAGCTCGGGAGCGAGTCGATGCGGGTCAGCGTGTTGCTCATGTCTGCAAAAGCAAGATTAGATTGTTGAAGAAACATCCATCGCGCATGCCTGATCGGGTTTAGCTCAAAAGTAGATGCTTCCTGATCCCGATGCGGATATTTCAATGTCTTGTCAGAAAAGAAGAAAACATGACACCGAGATCGTAGAGCTGAAACCCAGGGGTTCGCCAGCTCGAGTCGTCAGACTTCAGACTGCGAATTCGTTCCGCCGAAAGCAGCCACCGTGCGCCGGTTAGCGGACAGTGTCAGAGCAGGTTCGCAGGGAAGCGTTCAGCAAGACCAACGATTATTTCGGGGGTTGCTTACACTTGGCGTTTAGCTTCTCGAACTCGCTCAGCGGCCGCCCGTCCAACGCGAGCTCGTTCCGCTCCGGAGCAACGGCGCTGTCTGCACGGAACCGGAAAAGTGCAATCAGGTTCCTAGCCGGAGAGCCCTGCTGCCAGAACCGTCATTGAAGATCTAGCAGGCTGTTCGGATGGCAACAAAAGGAGGCGCGCCGATCTCAACGCAAGCTGCCGCCTCTAAATTTCAAGCGTGGGGTTGCCGGTGAGAAGCCGGTTGCAATTCGGTTTTGATTTTGAAGAAAACGACGATGGGATGGGCAGACTGCTGCAGAAGTGCATTCTAGGGTCGATAAAACCAAGAATTTTAGGCGTCGAAGCGCCAACCGCTTCGCACCTGCTAGGAGGCGTTCGATCTTGTCCAGTGTGGCGATGAGGTGCTCCGCCCCCTCCCGACATTCCGTGGTGTCAATTGCCAGCTTCACGCCGTGCACTGCACAATATAAAGAATGTGGTCAGCATAGAAGACAAGGGCTGACACAACATCGTGAACAGGCAGGAACTGCCATCGACCGGGTTGCAGAACGGGGAAAAATCAGAGTGACTGAACGGATTGCTTCAAGTCGTGCACTGAAGTTAGGAAGTTGAATCTAGAAGCGCCCCACCCTTTTTCCGATAGGGCGGAAACACGTGTCCTCCACCCAGCTGATCCATCCCGCGTCAGGCACGCAGCAGCACAGCTTTCACCTCAGCCGAGGATATGCAAAGTGGCCTGTAACCCCGAGCCGGCTTCAGGGGGACGCGTTACCTGAGTAGCAGATGGAGGGGGCGACCGCGGACTCTGGCTGACACACCGGGAGCACTAGCCGGTAGAGTGTAAAACTTCTTCACAATGTCATGTAACGCTGAGCCTGCTTCAGGAACACGCGTTACCTGAGTAGCAGATGGAGCGCGCGACCGCGGCCTCCGGCTGGCACACCGGGAGCATTTGCTCCATAAAGTCGAGAACCCACTCCATCACCAGCAGGCCGTCCTCCAGGCCCGCGCTCGCGCGCGCGTGGCCCTGACCTGCGCGCGCAAGGGGAGAAACCGGTGTGAATGCGCCCCGACTGGTTTATGTAGAAAATAGTGGCAGTGCAAAAGGAATGCTTGGCGCGAAAGAAGTGCCCTTTCGGCCCTCTACTGAGACGGTAAGGCGTGCCTCCAAACCTTCCTTCTCTACGTCCGGGTTAGGGTCCAACATTTTCAAATGGGGTTTGCCTGATCCGTATGACTCGAGTCGTGAAGAATTGTCCAACTCAGATTTGGCATACTAAACGAGTGAAGCGCATGCGACAGGTGGGAAAAGGCGTGAATTTGGGACAGCTCACTCAGGCGATTGCTCAAGAGAATGTAGAGCTGGCCCCGCTCCTTTGCCCCCGCCACTCGAGCCTGAAAAGCACCAAAACCTTCGGTAAACAGTCTATCGGAAGAAGCAATCGTCTGAGCACCTCATCTTTATATAAACTCCAACGGACGTTTCACATGACGTGGTCAGTAACAGGGAGAGAAAAGAAGGTGGATGACGTCAGCAGCTGGCGTGAGTTGTCCGACGCACCCTCTGAACGAGAGTCGAGCAGACCACCCGCGAAAAGCCAACGAGAGCAAAAGTAATTCAAGGAGCCAAGCGAAAGCATCAGAGGCCTTATGGGGGTAACCCCTTGCTCGATCGGGAAGCGGTTCCGGCTGCTAACCTGCAGCTGCGCAACCTCTAGCGGGTCTGGCGCCCGGAACGGGAAGGTGTCCACCCGCCGCAGCGACTGCTCCGCGGCGGCGGCCAGAGGGACGACGTTCTGAGCGCTCTTCTTCTTTTGCTCGAGCCGCCCCGCGCGGACGTCCGCGTACCTGCGAAAAGGCAAAAGGCGCTTCTGAAAAGTGGATGACCTAGCGCATTCTTCGTAGGGGTCATCCCCCTGGATCACTTTAATCGAGGAATTCCACCTAGACTTCAATCGTCGATCGATCCTGACATATCAGCTCAACCGGTCCGCCAGATTTGTTCAACATAACCCTCAATCAACTTAGCTTAAGACGGAAGTAGAACGCGCCGCTGGGATTGCAGCGGGAAATCTCTCAGTTTGATTAAGCAACAATCTGACAAGATCTGCATCCAACGGCCAGTTCGAAGGCAGGAACCAATGCCGATATGATATAAGCTATTGAGACATCACTTCGGATCAGTAATCCATCCAAAGGGTCGAGTGCGTCCAGCACAAAACCGTCTGAGTCCAAAATACCGTTTCTAAGAACATACCGGTCGAGTTGCAGAACCGACACCACGCCAATCTTCGCCTGAGCCTCCACAAAGACGTCGAGGTCCCCGTTAGCTTGCTGACAGGACAGAAAGAAAAGCATGATTAACGCCGCGTCTGAAGATGCTTTCTCACTCTGCCTAGTCGCTTTCTCGATGTTTTGCTTGAGTTTTGAACTGAGACGTTGAGACGCGTCCGTTTCTTTTTGTTGTCCTCGCGTCCCATTCTCGGGTCATCCTCGGAAAGATTCTTCGCAAGCGAGACTACCTGTATCGGCCTCAAGATCATGCGGGCTTCGGAAAGTAGAACGACGGCGGACCGTTTCGAGCAAGGTCTTCGTTCTGGATGTTGGACCTAACTTTGTCACTACAGCCTTCCGACTCGCATGGAATTCTTCCCCTCGAGCAAGCTTCAGGGGCCTCGTGCTCCGTCTTCTTTAGATCTTCGAGCTCATCCTTACATCTATCTGCCTTACCTTGTTACGAAACAACGGCTGGTGTATTCCCAACACGTCTCACGCGAATTTCTTCCTACTCGTCATGTACGAAACGCTTCACAGTCGTTCGTTCGCACTTCATTCAACCAGGTAAAATGTACACACAGAACTCCACTTACAAAGCCCCTGACGGGTTCAATCAGATACACCGAGTTGCAACCGTCGCTTTGCCAACAGGCGTTTTGCACTACCTGCTCGGCAGATTCTCACAGTGGACAACACCTCCGTGAGAAAGATTTCAGTGGCGCCTCACCCCTTCTCGTCCGGTGATCCGCCCCATGAATCGTTCTCGGACGTCCGCAAAGGCGAGCTTCACCAACGCCGGCAACGGGCACATCTCCAGTACCGTCCGGAGGGCGCCACGTGGCTCAGCGTCGAGCGCCTCTTGCCCCAGGCATTTGACGACGGCGAAAAGGCGGAGACGGTCGGCCTCCTGGTCGGGCTTCTGAAGAGGGTGACGCCAGCAGTGCGTCAGCATCGGCTGATGATACGATTGCCCCCGCGGCTAAGGATATGCCCTCAGTGACTTTGAAGTCGTGTAGACACTTGACTTCAAAGTCGAGAGACAGCTTGTCTAAAAGAATCGAGCTTGCAAGTTCGGCACCATGTGTGGCTTCGAGCCACACGGACATGTCGACGATCTGAATGGAAAAGCTTCGGAAAACGAAGGAGAGCAATTGCGCAACTTTTGGCGGATTCTTGCGAGGGTCCACAAGGATTCAAAGCAAGCCGTTTAGCACCAACCAACGGTCCGTGCTGGTTCAGATCTTCGGGCGACAAAGAGCAACTCCCAACAACAGAACACTTGCGCAGAAATGCAGCTCACAATCTCAGCAATCTCAACAAACTTCAGGAACGAAAGAGGAGTCGAGCAGAACAGCTTTCAGCAGATGAGCTGAAAGCTCACCTCCAGGGGGTACTCGGCCCAAGCCCCGTGCAACCATCGCAAGCTCTCCACCGCAAAAGCGTCCAACTCTCCACTCTCCAAGGCAGTCCCGTTCGCAACCGACCACTTCAACGCTGCGCCCCTTGCGCTCTGAGAGCTGACGCCAACGTCACTGGTCACTGATGGACGGCACGTGTGGAACGCCTCGCTGGCGTCATCATCGCTCATGTCGTCATCCTCGTCGCTTGATTCGTGTGAGTGGGCTGGAGCCTGGCCATCGGTGCTTGCCTTGATCGTGCGCAGGACAATCTGCACAATTGGCGGGAAATGGGTGTCACGACTGAAGTTTCAGTGTTTTTCTGCTCGAAAACGACTCTCTTTTCTCTTCGCAAACAGGGGGGGTGTCTGTCTCGTTCTTTGGACTTTATCAAGATTGACAGTGTCTGTTCTTCCACCAGCCTTAGAGCAATGTTGTGGTTGCTCAGGGTAACCTTCGTAAACTGCTCTTGGCCAGAATGGTCCACGTATGGTCACCAAATCTGTCATTCCAAAGGCTGTTGTTCCAAACGTTCTCAACTATCCAATGAGCTTTTAAGAGCGAAATTCGAATAAGCTCATCAGGGCTATGGATCCGCTTTCAATGCAGGAAAGCTCGGGCTCAGCTCGTTAAGTGCAGCATGATGATACACCACTCTAAAAGGCCAAAATCATCCTGAAAGCTTCTCTCTTGAAGTTCACTGCTCAAGTCTAGCTGAGCTGAAGCTTGACTTCGATCTCCAAAGAATGGCTTTCTAAGTGTCTTTATGCACAATCTGCTCTCGTCCTACACCGGTTCGAAAGCTCACTCAGGTCGTGTTGAGCCAGGCATGGAGTTGTTGTGTGCACCATGGTCTTGCAGACTTTAAGACCTGTTGGAGTCAAGTAGAGCCAACTCACTTTTCTGTGGTTCCCCTCAGTCTTGAATAATGTAGAAGGCATTGCTCACCTCACACCAGACGGCATAAGTGAGAGCCCTGGCATTGCCCCCCCTCAGTAACCATTCTTGCACCACCGCAGCTGCGCTGGATGCCTGGAAGACAAGCATAAGGTCACATCAGCTCTTGTTGACTGTTGGGCAAAGGGTTAGCCTAACATGGCTTTGACCAACTGCAACATAAAAAGGGCATGTGTATGCGGACCTGCGGGCTGAATGGACGGTAAGAACAGAAGGCCAGAGCATGAAAAGTTGAAAAAGGCTGGTTCATCATACTTCAGATAGATTCTGGAGATGGGGGCCCCGCCCAGTGGACAGTCTCAGCATCACCATCAATGTTGCTACCAATTTGGTCCCCCTCACTTACAGATCTGTCCTGACTTCAATCTAGTATCCATACACAATGTATCTTTGCCGCCCCCACAAGGATGCTTCCCCCTTGCAAAGCCTCTCACCCCGTTTTTGAGTGCCCTGCAGTCGGTCCTGGCATGACATACTTGATTGTTCAGGCCTAATGCACGACAGTTTCATTTACTGCAGGCATTGAAACAAACCTCAACCTTACCTGAACCTTCCCAGTGTGATCTTTCTGCAAGCCCTTGGCCAATCTGCCCCACAATGTGCCTACAATCTGCTCCTCAAGAGTTGCATCCCCCAGCCACAGTGGTCGACTGAGCCCCTCTTTGAGAAGCATCTCGCTTCTGGACTCGCTGTGGGGACTCTTCATCCTTGCTGCCTGGAATTCCGGCCAGGAAGTACCCTGCTGAAATTATCTTCTTCTATTTCTGTCTCCAGCATTGAATCTGATGGCATTCGAATTGCTGATTGACCCCCTGATTCCTTTTGGCAGGGCGTCAGATCAAAAACAGCATACCATTCCAAGCGGATTGACTGATCTTCACCATTCCAAATGCATCACCTGCTTCAAGAGAGGTCCTCATGACTTTCTGAGGAAGCCCCACGGATCCGCATTGCAATCTGCATGCAGAGCAATGTCAGCATTGCGTCGGAAACGAGTGCATTCCTTTCATGCTGAGCGAAGCAAACCCTAATTTTCCCCAGAGCTCGTCAGCGCCATCAAAGGCCCGGTGCGTACCGTTTTGCACCCGGAATGTACCCCGGTACCGGTCCGACCATAGAGCTGCCAAACCCTAAAACCCTAAACCTTGGGCTATGTAGCTTTGGCAAAAAGTTTGTGAGCTTGGGCAAAAACTTTTCTTTCCACTTCGTATGCTGTTGTGGAACTTCTTGTGAATCAGATGGCGTAAAGCGCTAGCATCCTTTAAGGAGACCTCTTGTGGCAAGAAATTTGCTTTGAGAACCTGTGATTTTTTGTCTTTTGTCAAGCTAAGATGGCGCTGCGTCGTGGGGATCAGGTCCTGAAGCGCTTGTCACCACGGATTTCATTGCTGTGCTCCAGACTCCTTGCACCAGAACAGTCTCTGCTTGACCGTGAATCCTCACATGGGTTTGCCACAACCTCCGGCAATTGGCAAGGGGCATCAGGAAGAGACGATGCTGCGGATTTTGGTGAGCTCTGAGAAACGCAATACTACCTATGAAAGTGGTGTACCTGGTCTGGTCAAGAAAGATCAAACAAGCTGTTTGCGGCCCAACTCAATCGAGTTTCAGACCGTGATATTGTTTGCGTGTCCTAACTTATCTTTGAGGGTGTCGATTGCTGAGGGTTTTGTGTCTTCTTCTCATGTCATATCCAAGCCTAGTGATATTTTGAGTTCAGTACCGAGTTCGTTAAACTCTTGCAGAAAGCTGATGCTCCCTTGATATCACCGTCGAATTGATCCGGTGGGACATCGCTCTTGATTCTTCATGGTGGTTTAACTGGTAAACCATGTTGAAGTGTTCGTTTTCATGGACATGAAACGTGCTTCTTGTTGAATCTGCTGCCACCAGAGAATCAGGTGGTAAGCATCGCTGTAGTCCTGTCACTCTCAATTTCCTGATTCAGAGTCAAGGAAGAATGGATCGTTGTAGCTGTACCAACAAGAGACATTCCAGTCATGGTGTTGACATCGTCTATCTTTGCACTGACCTTTTGAGAGGCGTGGGGAGTTTGATCAAGTGAGTAAGAAAACACATTGCCCAGCTTCACTAGGATATGAATGTTGACAGCTGTTTTCATTGTCCTGCAGGTTATAAGAAGGTTAGCAGAGAGGAGAAAACAACCCTGGTCGGGGAGGTGTTCAAAAACGTGGCCCCCAGCTACGACCTGATGAACGACCTCATGAGCGGGGGCATGCACCGATTATGGAAAGACAGGTAAGAACTCGTGTGTCTCCCCTTCTAGATTGGATCAAGCTTGTCGTGTCTTATCTGAGATGGACTGAAAAGATCGGACTGAATGTATTCCATCGAATCAATTGTCTTCGCTATCGAAGGACGCTGGCCTGTTCATTCAGCTAAGGATTAGTATTCCTTGACAGTGTTCAGTGTCAGACCTCTATGTTGCTCTCCATAGAGGCCTGCTTTGGAACAAAAGAAATGAAGGAGCTTGTTGTTTCGTGTGCGGCTGCAAAGTTGACTTTGAAGGTATTATTTGGTTCAGGTTTGTCAAGAAGCTGCATCCTTTTGTTGGGATGCAACACCTGGACGTTGCGGGAGGCACAGGTAAGATGCTTTCTGACATTAACAATGGTAGCTGTTTAAGGTATTCTCTGTTTGCTGCGCTTAGCCTCCGGTCAGGTCACCGTAGATGGTTTGTATGGCCCGTTTATGGTTTCCAATGGGATATCATGGTCGGGGCCAGCGCCTCGACAGGCGCACCCGTTTGCACAAACGGTATCAGGATCTAGCTTCCTGAATCCTCCCATGATCTACTTCAGTGTGTCTGAATGCGGGAAGTGAGGCGAAAATCTGCATCTCAGCACAAGCCGAAGCCAGCACAATCATTAGTCTTATTGCTCTTCTCAGAACCACACCACTACATCTCACGTCGTTTAGGATAATCGGCATCAGGAAGATCTGCCGGAACGATGTTACTGAAACTTTTAAGGCTTCTCCTGTGCAGGCGACATTGCGTTTCGTGTTCTGGACGCGATCCGAGAGCAGGAGCCAAAACAGGAGCAGGCGGCGTGGGGGCCCCGCAGCTCCGTCGTGGTCTGTGACATCAATCCCGCGATGCTGGAGGTCGGAAAGAAGCGGGCGCAAGAACGAGGTGCGGATTGTTGAGTTTTTGATGCCCTGTGTTTGGCAGCCGGGCTAGGATGGTGGAGGTAGCAGGCCTGTCGGGCCGTTCTCCTGAGGCCTTGGTTAGGTTGAGTCGACTCAGCTGTGTGCCCCAGATTTCGCGACCGGTTGTCGTCGTTCCTTCCGATGAGATCTTCTCAGTAGCCGTCCAAACGGCCCTTTCCTAACGAGGTCGGAAGTCATGTCACGTGTCCATCGAAATTCTTTGCAGCCACAATTCAGCAGCCCAGCTGCCATCCTTCTGGCGTCCAGCGACCCCGTGACTCTGTGGTCTGCCTGTCGAAAATTCTGGCCGTTACTTTGTGCGCAGGACTGGGCGAAGCCTCTGGCTTGCAGTGGGTAGAGGGCAACGCCGAGAAGCTTCCGTTCGAGGACGCGTCTTTCGACACGTACTCTATCGTGTTCGGCATCCGAAACGTGACCGATATTGAAGCGGCACTCCGAGAGGCGCACAGGTCAGCCCACCCTCATTGCTGAAAGGCATGGGTTGATTTTACGAGATCATGATCCTGCCATCCTACAACGTTTCGAGAGCAGCATTATTGGGTTCTGTCATTCAGTGACGTTTTCTGGGGCACGCCTACACACAGGGTTGAGGCGGACAGTCGTCCCCAAAGCCTAAGATAAGCGTTCCAAACATCGACGCCGATGCTAAAGCAGCTCGGCCAAAAAGGCGTGACAAGTCTGCCTGTACCAATACGGAGAGAAAAGGAATGGCGAACTGAACATATCAAAACACAGCTGTTTTGTTGTTCAGAGTTCTCAAGCCTGGGGGGCGGTTCCTATGCATGGAGTTCAGTCAGGTCCGGTCGCCGACCCTGCGGGCCCTGTACGACGCCTACTCGTTCTCCGTAATACCGGTGTTGGGCGACGTGGTGGCCCGCGACAGGGCCTCCTACCAGTACCTGGTCGAAAGCATACGGAAGTTCCCCAGTCAGGTCGGCTTTTCTTCCTGCTTTCTTGAATGGGGACATATCTTTGCATATGCGCCTCACTCGATGCAGATTGACTCCTCGAGTTTCTCGGGAACAGCTTGTGTATGCTACCAAGACCTAGCTCGTTTAGCTGATTCCTAAGGATTTTTAAAGCAAGGCCGAGCGAGTTATTACCAGACTACGAGTTTGAAGAAGGAGCAGTTGAATCGTTCTGAACCAAGGGAGTGGACAAACATCTCTTTGAGAGGGGCGCAAAAAGCTTGGACATCCGTTGAAGCGACTCTCAAGGACGGGCTTGCGGAACGAGTCGAAAGGCTGTCCAAAATGGACGTTTGGCCTGACGCCTTTCCTTCCTTCCCTGCTGCAGAAGAAGTTTGCCTCTATGATAGCAGCGGCCGGCTTCCAAGAGGTCACTTACGAGAACCTAGTGGCTGGGGCTGTTGCCATCCATTCGGGATTCAAGCTATGACCTCAGATGCTTGGTCCTCGGACGGAGGAACGTACCTCACTCAACACGCTCGTTGGACTCAATCGAGATAATGTCATTCTGTGTGACTGAACCTGCTCATTGGAGGTACTCATGATGGTACGTACGTCAACATGATCATGCTTGGACATTATCATGCTTGCAGAAGCACCTTTTCAAAGAATGGATTCTCATGCCGCAAATCTTTGGAAGGTTTAATCAGTTACATGCACGAGTCATTGTACGTATGGACCGACTTGCTCCTGTGGGGAGCTAGCAATCGCGGGTCCAGAGTATGAGTCGATCTAGCTGGCGGCCATGGTTCACCATGACGGGTCGCATGCTTAATATTGCACTAGCTGTATTGTAGCTATCTCAGACGCTTTGATCATCCGATCGATTCAGTTGACTTGGAGTTCCATATGATGGTCACTATATCGCCTGATCGAGAGCGTACGCGTGGCGAAATCATTCAATCTAGCACATTGACATGCACAACGGTAGCCTTCATGAACGATATGCTCGAAGGGCCGATGCTTCACGAACCGGCCACTCAAAGAACGACTCGGTAAGTAGTTCTTCAATGAGAAGCAATGACCAACCATGCGGCCAGTTGAAATACCGGAATACTGAGTACCAGCTCACGCTCTCGTAGAATGTAGCGACAGGACTATTCGACAAATCTTTCCCTGGCTGGCCTTGCAAGAAGCGGTTCCCTGACTCTCTCTTGCAGCTAGTGACACCATAGGTGAAGCAGCTGGCTCTGCATATACAGAGACATCTTAGCATGACGAGCTCAGGAAAGCCGAAAGTGCTCTCCTCATAAGGTTTAAGGCTAAACGCTTGAAGAGAACGGCACGTACTTTCGGATCGCACGAAGCACAAGAAAAGTCATCAGTGGCTCAAGATCAATCGAGCAGTGCATTCCGCCAGAGCAAAACAAAAGCGGGCATTCCCCGGGCATTCATTGCTGATTCCGCTGCTCGCAGGGAATGCTTGCGGCGCGCAGCCCAATGACATTGAGGAAGGCTCGGAACTTACCACAGCCTTTAACAAGCTCACAAAGCACCCGAAGAAGCGCCCAGGGCGTGGCTCGTCTGCAAGCATGAGCAAGTGGCGTTACTGTTTTCTTTACCGCATATCTTCGCGGGATCCACATCGTTTAAAAGTAAACATTCCAAGAAGATACAGAGCTTTTGAGACCATAAGGATACACGACTTTTGAGGACCTTTGGAATATTGTGAGCGTTACGTCTCCTTAGGATAGCGGAATCAGGAAGCCATGCTAGAAGGACTTGTTTGCGCGAGAATTGTAGGGAATCAGTGAGCGGGACCGCGCGTGTCGTTTCCGTTGCCAAAAGAAAACGAGCCGTTCAGGCTAGTCAAGGTAAGGGGGGTGGCCAGCCTCATAACATAATCGGCGCCGTCAGGTCTATCCAGTTAGCACCCGCCGCTAGTGACAGAACGGCTGTCTTTCACGACCTTACCTGCTCATCAAACACAAGGTTTGTCATGCACGGTTCACACTCGGTAAGAGGAAACTAGATCGGAGTCCGAATCTTACCTGCGTCCCTCAGAGTCGCCCTGACGAAGACGACATCTGGCTGCTCTCGCGACCCGCTTGTGAGTTCCTTGAAAGCTTCCCCGTCCCCGTCGGGATAGAACAGCTGGTACTTGATTCGCTTGGGCACTCCCCCGATCCGCTTCAGTGCCTCGCTGAACCCCTTCCAGCCGCCCTCCCACGTTTTGAAGATTGTCTGCGGCAGCGTGGATCGGAAGTCGAGGCGCTCGCCTTCGGGGACGAGGTAGAAGATACCGACGAAGGGGCCCTGACCCAGCACTGCAGACACAGATATATTTGGCCTTCGGATGGTTATTGTCTGATCAGAAAGAGGTTATAATATGTCCCAGAACCACACTTGGCGGCCGGTAACCAGCCTTGGAGCAAGGCTAAATACCCGGTTATTTTTCCGGTAACCTGAGACTTGAGTAGGTATTCAGCGTGGTTAGCTGCCAAAGCTTCCTGTAAGATACGAATGCACTCGAACCTCACAGCAAGAAGGCCATCAAAGCAGATTGAGTTGCTTGTGTCGAGAATGATTGATTCATGTCGGCTTAGAGCTGCTTCTCTTGCCGCGGAGGACGGCGAGGAGTGATCAAAAAGAGGCGGAGCAACTTGCTGCATGTGGTGGGAATCAACCGGGTAGGCGAAGCGTGCTTATTGGATGCTTCAGACTTTCGTCAAAGGAAGCAAAATATGAAGAAGCTAGAGCTGACATCCGCCGTTTCAGGCTGTTCCAGCTTTGGACGGCCTGGAGTCGCTGTTCAAGATGCAATACTTGCTAAGACTTTGCTGGTGAAATCTTCTACATCCTGACGACTGACTTCCCGCTTGACACAAAAATGCACCTCATTGCTACAGATTCGTACAAACGATGTGCAGCTTTGGTGCCTTCTACAGTCAATCTGCTGACGAGAGATTGTGAAGTCTCCTGGCCTACAAATCACATGTCAGCCAGAAGATAGTCAAGCGGTCAGCACCATGTTCAAATGTTACAACTCCGATGCCATGATCTTTTGGCCATTGCTTTCTCTATCTTGTGCTACAGTTTTGAGACTCTTCCTACATGTCTCGCTCTAGGCGGCTCGAAAAACGAAACCGTATCCAGCAATGGATCTTTCAGATGAATTGGAACGACATACGGAAATGGCACTTACATCTGCTGACTGCTGCGTACTCCAGGTCTGCATCGTAAGGCAGCTTCAGCTTTCTCCTAAGCGCATCTTCCACTTCTGCAAACCAGGAAGATAAAGTCAGTTTACGGGTAAGTTGTCAAAGGTGAACACACCTTGGTTAAGGTCTAGTTTCGTCGGCCTTCCACCTCGGATCTTCTTAGGAGGTGAAATGATTCCGGCCTGCTTATCAGTCCAAAGTCACGCAGAATGACCAGCGCTCCTTTGTGAACCATCCATATCTTCCCCGTGTTCGAATTCCTTGCCTAGCTTCCTCCATATTATCTGCAGTCAAAATGTGCGACTCACCCTCTCTTCCTGTGACCTGAAGTTTCTCAACTTCGCTACACAGAATGACCTTTGATGTTGCAGAAAATGATGGACTCTCTGGCTACGCGAGGGGCCCCTGATTGGTCTGCGTTGCCTTACCGCAGCATCATATTTCCTGTCTCGCATGATCATAGAATCTGATGGAGTGAGGCTACTTGAAAATTGCTGCTTCTGCAGTCACGGCCGTTCGTCAACAAAAGATGTAATGCTAGCCAAGCCTGCGAAAGGGGTGATGTTGCAGAGCCGGCAGAGAGCATTTGAAAACTCCTTTAACCAACACTTTTCAAGATCCAAAAGCTATCTGCTTTGAAACAACTGCCAACTAGATCAAGAACCAGCCAAGATGTCACTCTGTCATGTAATGAGAAAGTTCTCGGGGAAAGTGGTGTGAATATCGAATCAGAAACAGACAAGCAGACTGTTTGGACCGTTTCAAGGCCATTTCAAAGGCTCCGTCATCTGAAAGACAAAGAACGTGGAGACTGCTTATCTTCCCATGCTCGTGTTGTCAAGATCCATCTCTAGAGGCTTCCATTGGCATGCACACCCGCTAATGCGATGCGCGATGCTTGATTTCAGATGAGAAAAGAGTTGCTCGAAGAGACGAGACTTAAGTTGGCTCGAAAGAAGAGACTAAACGGAAAGAGACTGTTGGAAAGTAGAAAGCCTGCTTGCAGAAGGTGGCGCGGGATTATTGTCTCGATCGTTTTGGAATTGCTAGGACTGCGAGTTGACTGGAGTAAATTAGGGTTCATTGAAGCAAACGTACCGTAGACGGTGAAGAAAGGCACCATTTTCACAAAGATGCTTTCCCCCCGGGGTACACGTTGCCGTCGAAATTCAAAGTGATGCCACCCGAACCCTTTCTTCCAGAGACGCAATGAGCAGGTGGACTTAAGCCAGGGCACCATTCCGAAGACTTCGGCAAACAGCTGCGATTCCGTCCTGCTTGGATCATCTGGCAGCGTCAAGCAGAAGCTAGGCTGGAGCAGGGTGGGATTCGCTTGCCATGTCATGGCTCTCGCCACACTGACAGAAACTGGCGTCGGCGTGTTCTGCATGGCGCTGCCGTTTTCGAAGGACGCTTCAAAGCGGAAGGATTCTAGATTGGTCGGGAAACGAAGCAAGGTCGCTGTCTCTTTCAATCAGATTGGCGCACAAACAGGAAAAGACCCAATGGACCCTCAAAGCATTATTCTTCTACAAGTAGGGCTCCTGCCACGACTAGACTAAAGTGAAGCTGTTTTGCCTTCGCAGCATGAAGCGCTTCAGCTAAAGCAGAATCGACCAAGGATTGGCGCAAACTGTGCGCTGATGGTGGTAAGCGAGCGGCGAAGGCAACAGCGCGCGTCTGGCCCTTTGAGGATGCCAGACGCGGAAAACTTCAGTGCATGGAGGCTTTCAACCAGCATTGGCTGCTCAGATTCAACGTGAGGCTGGAGCAGGCTTGCCGCAAGACTGAGTATGCGGTGCATGATCTGGATGCATGCTTTCCAATGCAGTCGAGCGGGTTTCCGTCAAGTAGTGACTGCAGTTGAACAAAAGCGCGCGCTCTGCTTCCAAAATTGGATTGCCACGTGACAACCCGACAATTGAGTCTGTGAGAATATGAGTCAGGCAAATTGTCATCAACTGCAGATTGTCATCAACTGATAGATCTATGCTCCACCGTGGACTCGCTTCACATTTAGCCTGACTTCACACGGGTGCCTGCAGTCGAAATACCCGCACTCGAAGTTCTCGTATTTCTCGATCCGAGATAACCTTCATGCAGACGTTCGAGTAATTGCTGCAGTGACGAAATAACGAGGGTTAGCCGCAAGGAAAACGGGTACGCGCGCTTGGGCGCGGCCGCCCTTCCTCTTAAACCCTTCAAACCCTTGGTAGTCTAGGCCTTCACGTGACCTCCGGATAAGGATGACGGGCAGCCCCGCACACAGACGTAATTTGCAAAGTACTCGGACATGACTAAACTCTAACTCCGACTCAGTGACCCAAGGAAGAGATATATTGACAAGTAAGGCACCTTGGAGTTGCAATTTATTCTTCAATTGTTTATGGCCATACTTACGAAGTGTGTATGGAAGCATGCCATGATGAGCATGATGTAGCATGAGAGGCTCCGCAGAAATACGCGGCTGATGTACATAGTGCACTGCCGGCGGCGGCGGCGGCAGTGTATACCGTAGTACCCCTTCTTTAGCATGGAGAACCCCGTTAATCTCGCGTCACACTGTCACCTGTACATCAGCGCTTTTGCCATCATATTGCCCCCATATGATACCTCCATGCGCCCTGGGTGATGCGAAAGCAAAAAATTGAATTGTGTGCTGCATGGAGCAAACGCGACTGCTCAAGCGACCGATTATATATAGAGCCATATTGGTACCTAGTGCCAGATTGAGCAAGTGACTTGCTCGGGCCCCTTGGACTCGCACCCAAGATGTTGTTTTCAACGGAGCATGTTCGATATCTCCAAGTTGAAGGCGGGGAGTACAGATTGTCGTCGAAGTCCGTCAGAATTCGCACCTAGCGCAAATGCAGACTGGCCGTACACCAACATCTTGGGTGCGAGGTTAAAGGCTTCGAGTCGGCCAGCTTTCAACAACGTCCTCTATGCAGTTGTTTCCAAGTACGTACTTTGATTGCAGCACGCTCGGCCTGCTAAGTGTGCCCTTTGTGCAGAATCATTCATGTCCACCTCGAAATGGAGGAGCCTGTTCGTTCTTGCAATGCCAAATAGTGTCTTTTAGTACACCAGAATCTTCGACACGTCCTACGCCTTCTTCATAACCTTTGCAGCCACTTTGCTCGATTCGTAGGCATACGCAGCGACCGCCACAATTGCTGTAGCAATGACGCCAATTCCCGACGAGTATAGGAGGGCCGCAGAGCTCGTGGGGTCGGCCGTGCTGTCAAAGTATTGGGGGGCGGTGTACTTGCACCCAAGCTCGGACAGCTTCTTGTGGGACTCGGCGTACTCCTTGAAGAACACGTCCTCATCCTGCGGTTGACAAACAGGCAAAGTGCTGAAAACGGGCCGGTTGACAAATAGGCGAAGTGCTAAGAAACGGGCCAGCGCTCATGAGGCTTTGATAACGAATCAGAGCAACGTCGAACTCTGGTGGAGCTCGCGATTGAAGGGAGCCTTTGGATATGAGGTGTGATAATGTCGGAAGGATGTTGATCCCTGACGATCTCTGCCGTTTGGTGAACATAATTCTCGTCCGACTGCGACGTTGCACACCGTTGAGCAACTACACGTGAACGGGAGGCCCGGAAAAACGCTGTTCAGCTTTGCCTCGGAATTCCTTCCCAGAAACAGGTTGGTAGTAGACAGGCATACAGCCTCCGAAACACGCTCTGTTGCGGACAAAACCATTGGCACAAGCTTTTCAATTCGAAGCTCTAGAACGAACACATAGTTAACCATGAGAGGTAGTCAATGAGCGCGACCCACCTTGGCGTACTTCTCGACGTGCGGCCGGAACTTGGGATCCGTCACGAGCGCCTTGTCGGTTGGCAGCTTCAGCAGGTTCGCCTTGTCGGCAGCCAGCAGCTCGCTGCGAAGCGAAACACGTTGATAAGCAATGGGACAACCAACACGCGTGCCAGCACTATCAATGTTACTGGGGAAGATACTCACGGGAAGTTTAGGCAATCGCGCTTGTCTGGGGGGCGAAAGGCGAGAAGGCTCTTTAGAGATGATTGCAGAAAAGGGGTCAGAGAGAAAGGGTGCTTGTTGAGCAAAAAGCCTCGTCAATCTGGCAAAAAGAAAGGAGAAACGACACCGTGCGCAATGGAGATACAAGCAAGCAACTCCGGCTAATTGCTAGAAGTACACGAAGGTCCCTTGTCACCTGGACTGGTGTGATTGAGTTCTCCATCAACCACAAGAGATTTCTCATGCACACGCCTCCCAGTGCAAGGAAGACAAGGGCGTTCCTGCGGGAATCGCAGATCGTTTCCGCGAGAGAACAAGTGAGTGATTGATTGAGCGGGATGTTCGGGGAAATAATATTGGGAGGCTCACATGAAGTAGGAGTTGTCGAACTTTAGCGGGTTGGACGTCCACGGCTTATCTTCGAATCCGGACCGCTCCTTATGCGCACGCCCCTGCACATGAGAAACTCCAAGTTGGAGTGCCAATTGCCGGGTAGGCCCTGCAGTTTTCCGAGTTGTACAGGCTTGTATTCCTTCCTCGCAAATGAAGCGCTGTTACTGCTTCTGGGGGAGCGCTGCAGTTCTAGCAACGGAAGCATCAGACTGAGATGTTGTTGGAAGCATCTGAGCCCGACTCCTGTGACCATAATGACTTGAAAGGGAAGAACACGAAGAACGACACTTCTGAATCGGTGGAAAAGCTCACGATACACTAGCCCCGCTGGTTCGCAATAAAATGGATCTACAAAAATGCTCGATGAAGTATCCCCTCTGACAATTTCAACTTCATGAGCACCGCTACGAGTGCTTGCATGACCATCTTTCAAGAACAGCAGAGGAAAGAGCAAAAACTGGTCCGTCAGAGGGCTGCGACTCTTGCAAGCACAAAATGAAACGACCCTACAGAGCGGCAAAGAGTCACTGCACGTAAAAGTAGCAAGTGACTAGGTGCAATCAGCAAAAGGCAAGCGTACCAGAGTGTGCCCCCCAGAGAGCGCCACGATGTCCTTGTCGCTGAGGCCCATTCTATAGAAGACTGTACGGATGTGGGAGGCGTCTGCACAGGAGAATGAGAGGTGCAGTGAGCAGACAATATTGTCCACTTCGTACCAGGGTGTCGGTAACTTAAACCAGCATGAGAGCTACCTTTTACTGTTGAAAGTGACCGTTATGAGCAAATAATGCACCAATGATACTCGTGCGTCCCAAATCCTCAGAATTTCGGAGGAACGACGTATTTACAGCGCCCAAAAGCTAGGCTGTGACTCTTGCCCTCAACCAACAAACATACGCTTTCACACCTTCTCGTGCACCTCATCCTGAATACCTTGTCTTTCCTGGCCACCGACTCGCAGGGGCCTTCAAAATACGAGGAGCAAAAGCCTGATCTGCCGAGTACCTTGCTCCCTCAACACGAGATTTTGAAGCAAGACTAAGCCCTTGAGAGATTGCTCACCTTTGCCGCCGTCAGGAAGACGTCCCTCGGGTGGACAGGCCAGAGAATCCGGCCGTCCTGCAGAGAAGCAACCGGACGCTTCAAGGACGGATCCCACCAACCTGTCAATCTCTACGGGACAGGAGAGAAGCAACAACAGAGACAGATGCCTTGGAAAGGGCCTACGAAGCAGCACGCTTTGTGTCAATAAGAAGCATCATCTGACCATCCTTGCCCCGATATGGAGAGCAAACAGAAATCATGCATGGTGCTATTTTGGCTTCTTGAATTTCCTTGGTGACCTTGAAAAGGAATGCCCCTCCTACTGCTCTTGGAATTCCGGTTAGTTTGTCCCTTGTACGGGCCCTAGTACCATCATTATGCGCAGCAACTACACGTAAGATCGCCCTTCGGCGTCGTTTGCGCAATTGTGCGCTTACGGGGATCTGCATAAGCAGCTTGCTCAATCTTTACAAGCTATGGTTGGGTGTCTGAATACACACCTGGTGTGAAAGGAATGCTGGGCCCGCCAGTGATCTCTACTGCAACATAACCACCCAGCTGTAGACAGAAGAACACACGACATTACAATCATCAGCCTCAGCAGATATCGACAGTATTCTGATCTCGCAGATACAATTGATCAGGATAAACTGGCATCTCGATGTAAGATCAGCAATCAAGCTGGACATCTACAATTTCTTCAGCTGGGCATTCAGAAGGATCTCAGGTCAATTGTTAGCTTCAAAAGAAGGCGTAAACAATACCTCTATTCTTGCCTCTATTCTTGATGGACCCCTTTGAGAAAAAGCAGGAGCACGCGTTATACATTAAAGGCTGACCTGATAGATGTCGGCGTAGGTCAACCCTGGATACTTCTGTTTGAGCGGTTCAAGGATGTCAATGGCAATCTTCAGGCCGGCATTCGCCCCATGAGCATACTCTCGGTCGCTTCTGATGCTTCCATTAGGTCCCCCCGTCTTTGAGTTGGCGTCATAAGTGCCAGCATCATGCCACCTGCATTGGATGATTGCAGGTTGTTCAACTCCCACTAAATCCATCCTTCAGCGTACAGCTGGTTCACGCATTCACTGGTTCGGGGGAACTGAGACAGAAGACGCTCTTATTTGTGACCTGCACAAAAGAAGGATTGCTGACCGAAAGAAGCTACCTCGACTCACACGAACTGAATCTTCCCCCAGTGTCACACGAACTGAATCTTCCCCCAGTGTCTGGCCAGTCTTCAACTTAAACAGTGGTACAGGATTTTCCAAAAGAGAGGGGGAAACACACATATAGGCACCGCAATATCACCACAATCAGAGATCAAAGATTCTCTTTTGAAGCTACATACATTCTCAAAAAACTCCACCAGCTCCCACATAGCCAGACTTCTAGGCTTCCGAAGTCACACCACCAGAAGAGGCATCACAATAATTGTCTGTCTTAGACCAATCTGACAAATTCAGCCAGTAATTTTCAACCAGTAATCTAGTCGAGGCTGAAGTACACAGGTGGAAGAGAAGCCTCGCCCTCTGAAACGTTTTTGAAAAAGGACATGAGACTATGGCAGCATCACTTTGCCCTCCAATCTTTTCTACTTGGGGCTGTCCGGTAATTCAGCACATGAACTTTGAAAGCTTACAATTCAGCTGAATCAGCTAGTCAACTTGAATTCTAATGCACGGATCGAATGAGACGACCTGCATAACAACCATGCCATTCAGGCACGCAGCTAAGCAGAAGTACACCGGGGACACAAAGCGAATGGCATAAAATCCACAGAACAACCTCAACTGCATCAATCTGCAAAGTACCGCAGCCTAACTTCAAACGCTAGGTACATCCCATGTAACAATATACACCACTGGGGAACCTTATAGAGACATCTTGAAAAGCTTTCAGCTTCATCCGACCACTCACGCAAGGCGCAGTATCAAAGGAGAACAGTTCTTCTCTGCTAGCAGCGCCCTCAGGTCCCGTCGGCACCGTTCAATATCTTTCTTATACTTCGCATCAACGACCGGAGGAGCCATTTTCACAAAGAACCCTGACCAAAGCGCTCCTGCTTGCACTGGCAGATTCTGTCAAGCCTAGGACGTCAAGAGAAACTCTGAAGCAGCATGCCTGCCTCCAGGCTCTGGTCAGTTCTGCTGCTGCGCGCTGGTGACGTACAAACCCTTGCCCACTCAGCACCATGGACTCAAGCACGTGTGTCCTGATTCTAATTTCAGCTTACCTGCAGGTTCAGTTCTTCAAAGCGTACAGTGGTCACACAGAGAAAGCAGAGTTGGGGTTCTAACCCACCCTAAACCTTGAGCAAACCCAATTGCATACATCTATATCTGATATAGAACTCGGTCACTCTGTGGCGTGCACCCCGATCAGCAGATTGCAGCCGTGAGATGCCACAGTGCTTATCGGACGACTCTCGAGCCTCGGTACGTTTCAGCCTCTTTCAGGCAATCTTGACTTCACATCCGCCACACGATCAAATTTCAACCGCGACGGCTGAGCCGTTTGTCAGGCGGCCTGCTCTGCCCGGCTGCGGGCCATCATGCCTCCGACCCTGATGACAGTGATGTGTCACGTGAGTCCAATTGCACTGCACCAGGTCCATGGTGCCCGTTCTGCAGGGAATGCCCTGTGCAGGGAATGTTTGCGAAGGGAGGAGCCGCACCTGCGGCCTTGCGTGCTTTGAGCTCTCATGGTGGCCTGGTCCGTCCGGACCGTCCGTCCTGAGGCAGTGTGCTAATATCGGTTCCATTCTTCTCCCTCTGAGCTGCTTCATGTCCACCTTGGGTCCACAGAGGAATGATATAGCCATGTGTAGCTATCAATTGACGCAGCGGGCCTAGTCTTCAAACAAGCGTCCACTTTAACTTGAAAGCTGGGCTTGTTCTGTTCTGTTGGCTGAGTGTCTGGTGCATAAGTCGGCGTGACAGGAGCTGCCTCTGATCCATATCCAGTTGCAGTTTGTTAGTGATGCATCTCGCCAAGGAGGCGGGGGCAACATCAAAAAATTCCGAATTGTGGTGATAAGCACTTGAGCCCTGGGATCAATCTAGGTTCTGCTTTCAACCATGTCCTCAAGCACAAGCAAGAAGCTCAGCCCTCCTAGGCACCGCCATGACGGGACCTCCCCTCTACCACTAGGGCTGGATGCAAGCAGACCGCCAAGCCAATGGGTAAGGCTGCTTCTCTTCAAAGCTGTCCTCGATGTTGCTGGACCTTGTGTACTGCAGGGTTTCCTTACAGATTGAAGTGCCTCAAACTAGCTCTTTGATCGTTGTTTTCAGTCGGCAAAATGGGGTTTCGTTTGCCACTACCGTTCGTTGTTTTCAGAAAGCATTTCATGTTTGCCACTAGCGGGGGTCACCAAATATAGAGGATCTAGAAACAATTGTTGTCAGCCATCATTTTATTCGATAGATCATCTCGCTGGTTGAGGGCTTGCAAAGTCACAAGGCTCATGAGTTCAGAGCTCGGGGAGTGCTCCTTTCAATGCGGAGTTGGATCTACTACATTCTCTTCTTTCATTTCAACTTATATCGATCGTCGGATCAAGCTTTCAGAAATTCTTTTTCCTATACACGGCACTTCGACGATTCCGCGCACTCCTTTCAAAATGAAACCCATAGGTGAAGGACTGGCGAAACTCTTGCCGGTCAAAACCTACCAAAGTACAAACATTCGAACGCTGTGTCGTTCAAACCAATCAATCTTTTATGTTTAGAGGAACAATGAGGATCGTCATGCATTCTGAACTCTTGCTGCAATGCAAAACAAACCCTGTTAAGCAGGCTTTGGTGGTGAGGTTGTGGGTTCCTCGTCCCTTGGCTATACCTCATTGGGTGAATGCCAACTTCTGAGGTTTAAACGCTTGCCAGAAATCAGAGTGGGGCTGTAGTGAATAAATTTTGGGGCGCTTCTATTGCGGCAGGCAACTTTTTATGAGTGTGCACTACTCTCGGAAGTCGGAAAAGGGCAACTTTTTGTGGATCCACCCCCTCCATGACAGCATTTTTGAAGGTGCTGAATGCTGTGCTGATGACATGGTGCTAAACCGCATACAACTCGCTGTACAAAGTGACATCTTCTCAATTGTCTAAAATCCTGCTTCTTGAATCGATGTAGACCGGGAAGTCCACAATTTGGCCCCACGACGCCGGCGGTTGGAGCTACTGCGCCATGATCCCGTCATTCACCACTTCTCCAAACCGCGCCGGAGGATCGGACACGCAGCCGATCGTGGTAAGCCCTAACCTCACCCTCATACCCTCATCGCATTGAGTCTGTTTCGTTGAAATGAAGTTTCCCCATGCATTTTGCAAACTTTCTTCCAACATACCTTGGGTGGGGCATAGTGTACAATACACCGGTTGTTGGATCAGGTTACATATGCCTGGAAGTCCTGCATCTCAACTACAAGGGCCATTGATACTGAAGAGGATGTCTCATTTCTGTGGCTTCTTCCCCTTCTCTAAAGCTCCTTGTCAGTCATCTTGCCTGAACTTTCATCGATGTTCCGCGCAGTTCTACCGCGTCCAAGTTGGGATCCAGTCCCCGACTGCAGTCAGCACACTGCGGGGCATCCTGCGCCGGTTCAGTGACTTCCTTAAGCTGCATCTTGCGGTGAGTTTGCTACGCGGGTAGTATGCTCGGTGACTCTTCATGACCATGTAACAGATGCTGCGACGAGGGAGGCTGCAAGTTTCTTTCCTTTTGCGCCTTCATGATCAATACTGAAAGGTTTGTAAGGTATCTATTTGTTTTGGGAGAATGGACATCGAGCTTTGTGCTTTGAGGGACGTACGACTTTTTGCTATGAAATTGGTGATTTGAGCTTGTCGCTTCGTCTCGGAGAATGGTGAGCTGCTGCGCATCCGTGTCTGCCACACCCCTCAAGCCAGTCAGATCTCACTTGCATGATGGGCTTGGACTTGTTTCTGATGCAGTTGAAGAAAGCGTTTCCTCGCAAGAAGATTGCAGCTCCGCCATCCAAGAAGCAGCTCAGGCTCACATGGACGGCACAGCTCCTCGAAGAGGTGAGCATCTTGGGCTTGTATTGCTTAATGCCGCTTTCACTGTACTTAGTTCCCGCAAGTGTGGAAGAGGTCATCGCTCGGAAGAACGCATGTAGAGATTGCAGATTTACTGAAGCAAGGATTGTGCAGGAGCAGAAAGAGAGAGATTGTTTTTCGGAAAACTATCGTTTGTCTCTCTCATAGATTCTGCTCCATTATCTGGTCATCTATCGGGTTCAACCTCAAGCAGTGCCCAGAACGTAGGCCCGAAACCTACTCTCACTTGACTTCCCACGCTTTTTCGTTAAGCACGACGCCGCTGAACCTAGTTTACGCCAGACTTTGATTCTACGGCACACCATGTTCGATGCAGAGACGACGAAACTTGGAGGAATGGCTGCAGCAGCTGTTGGAAGACCTGGACATGTCACGAAGCGCGCCTGTTGCTGTGTTTCTGGAGCTCGAGGCGGTCGCTCGTCATGGTAAGGGGGACCGCAGAACGCAAGCACCTCTGCGACTTTTCTCGTCAGGTCAGAACTCGCCAAGCGTTTGGCGGCGTTTTGGTGGCTCTTCGCCCGCTCCATATTGCCACATGGCATGCGAAGCCAAACCTGCTTCATTGAAGGCGCTTACCTGAAACCGCAGGGCTTAGCTGGACAGGAGATACTTCTGGTGTGTTTCATAGGCTAGAAACTGTATTCTCCAGGGATGCATTCTTGGTCTGCCTTCTTACAAGCTTCTCTGCCACAGCTGCAGCCGTCTCCTCTGGCGACGAGATCCCCGCTACCCCAACTCTCATCCCCGGCTCCAACCAGTCGGCGCTTGCGCCCTCCCTTCCCAGTCCGTCCAACATCGGGTCCGCTTCTTCCTCTCTCCCCGAATCTCCCCCCTCTTTCCAAGACGGCGCCCTCTTTGGAAGCGCGACGCCGATGATTGCCAGTTCCGATGCGGAGGACAGCGAAGCGGAATCGACGGCCGGAAGAGGTGGCGGGAGGTTTGACGATCCGGGCCGGGGACTGGGTCGGGTTACGGAGTCTCAGTCGGATGAGAGTGTGAATCGGGGGAAGGAGGCGATTGCGAGGGCGGCGGCGGCACGGGCCGCAGTAGCAGCTCTGAAGAACATGTCGAAAGAAGGGGCAGAATCAGGGGGGGAGTCGATGAGTGACCTGGATAGAAGCGGAGCCACGCCGGGCGAAAACGGGATCCATACTGAGAGGCCGGAGGGGGGAAGCTTGCAAACGGGTGAGGAAACGGGGGATCGAGAAGCCCTCCGTAATACCCACGAGGCGACCGGAGGAGAGGACGGGTTACAGATAGACATGGCCGGTCTGCCGAACGTGCGGGTTCCGTCTTCTCAGCCAGCCCCGTCCCCGAGCAAAAGCGTGGGAGTTCCACGGACCGCGAGTCTGCCGCCGCACGCCGGCCCGCGCCCGTCCAAACTGGGCGCCAGGAAGGGGGGAGAAGTGGTCGGTACGGAGAACCGGGGGGGCGTGGCGGGGACCAGTGGCGAGGCGCCAGCTGGCAGGCCGCTGGCGCACCGGAGGCAGTTGTCGACGAGCAGTGACATCAGCACGAGCTCGTGGGGGGTAGGATCGGAGGCGAGCGGACTGGAGGCGTTTGACGTGCATGGTGGGGGGTTGGTCGCGGTGGGGGAGATGAGCAAGGAGCTGAAGCTGGCGCTGCCGCTGGATCAGGTGAGGGGTTTTTCTTCGCGGGCAAGCGCGCGAGGAGTCAATCTGCAGGAGGTCGGAGTGGCGACTTGGAGCCTTTCGAAGGAAACTGCGCGAGTTCTCCTATTCCAAGGGCTTGAGTTTATATATAGCTACTGCGCTGGATGTGATCTGGCTTAGTCAAAGGATGCACTGCTATTTGGAACACACCCGTATGTTCCAATGCGTCCGGTGGCAGATAGCTACAGCTGCCAGCTGCGGCTGATTGAAAAGGGCATTCGTTTTGGCGACGCACGACAACTCTTATGTGGGCGAAATTTTATGGTGTGACCGATGCTAAGTGCCTGGACAGCGAGTTTACATCTTGCAAAGTCAGCTTTGATCATTGCAGTTTCGATGCAAAGCCCAATGACGTGATCACTGGTACCCCGCAGAAACGCCAATTTTCTCAGGATTGCAAAGACCTTTACCCCGGCTCATGTCTGCATGCACCCCAGCCTGGTGCAGCGGAAGCTTAGCGCGCTGCAAACGGGATTCAGGCGGACTGCGATTCCCTTCTGCATTCGGAAGCCCAACTGAAAGATCTGGAAAGCCCTCAATCTCAGAAAAGTCTTGTTTGTTGCCAGAGGGGCGCGGTGCGGCGCATGCTGGGTGCGCTACAGCGGCGGTTGGCGGCAGCGAAAGCCGACATGGAGGACCTGATTGCCCGGCTGCGGCAGGAAAGCGCGCTCACCGAGTTTCTGCACAGCAAGGTCAAGGACCTCGAGGGCGAGCTCGAGAGCGCGCGGGAGAGCGGCCGCGAGACGCTACGTCAAGTGAGGGCACCGCTCACTGACAGTTCTGAGATCTAGATGATTCTGGGGCGGTCGATTGTGCAGTTGTCTCAGGCTGGTTTTTGCAACTCGTGTAGATTTGCGAGCCATCAGGCCTACCATGTTCTACTCTTGTGGGTGCTTGTACTTTTGACACCCGTGACAGCCAGGGCTGAAGACGTTGTGGCAAACGAGCGGCCCCATTGTAAGGGTTTGCTAAGCACTGATTTTCTTGTGCTTTCTTGAGCATTCATCTGGCACGTACGGTTGTTGCGGGACGGTGCAGACCCAGTGCAACGCCGGAATATATTTCGTTCACATTGCGACCAGAAAGGGCGAGTCATCGACTTACGGGATGGTGCAAACCAAGTGCAATGGCGGAATATTCTCAGTTCCCATTGCGACAGAGAAGGTGAGTCATCAAGTTTTGCTTTTTGAAAATTTCTGGGCGAAGGGCATTTGATCGGGCAATGGGCAAAGCAAGAAGTATTGACTTACCGCCGACGGTTGGAACGAATTGCAGGCCATCACCGCGGAGCGGGAGCGGTGGACGGCGGTACAGTGGGAGGTCGAAGAGGCGCGCGTGGCGCAGCAAGCGGCAGAGGACGAGGCGGAACGGGAGCGCGGGATGCGGCAGGAGCTGAGCGAAAAGCTGGAGAAGTGGGAGCACGAGAAGGTGCGTCGAGTTTTTTGCCCGTCTTCTCACCTTAAGAGGCAACAACTTCGGTTGGAAGACATGATGCATGCGAGAATCGTTTCAGTTTCTAAGAGGAGCGAGACGTCAATTGAAATTAGTTAGCCATGCGCTGAAAGCTCAACTTCGAAGCTGCTGACGAGAAACTCTGATAGAGTGTGGCAGAAGGTCAGACGAGACTTGATGTCGAAGAAGCGAAACTGTTTTCCACGCCATGTATCCAAGTAACAGGCCGCCATGTTTGCAAGCGACTCACGGTTCGGTTCTTGCGCTTGCCGTTTGGGCAGCGTCAAGACTAGGGTCTCGCTCTGTTCGTGAATCTGCAGGAACCAGTCAGAGTCGGCAAGATGTGATCGATGGACCAGGTTGGAATTCCCTCACTGAAGTTTCTCCGTTCGCAGGCGGAGCTGGAAGGGCAGCTCGAAAGCGCCCGGCAGACGGCCGAGGCACTGGCGGCGGAGCGCGACGCGCTTGACGCACAAGCCCGCGCAGACAAAAAGGTGCTCGCGAAGGAGATCCAGAAGCTGAGGAAAGCGCAGCCGGCGTTGAAAGAGGAGGCGGATGCAGCGGCGCGCGCTCGGGACCGGCTGGAAGAGGAACTAGCGGTGGAGAGAAGCAGGCAACGGGGGGCGGCGCAGTCGCGTGCGGCATTGCTTCACGAGGTGAGTTGATAGAAGCTGCGGCTTCATAGGTCGCCCCAGTGATCTCAACAAGAAAGTCGGCAGCTTACCTATGTACTGGAGCTGCCGATAGCTGGAGAGTTGCGTCACGTGCGCTGTTGAGTGGTTGCTACTGCTCCACTTCCTTGAGGAGGTTGACGTCTTAGGTGCACATATCTTTTAAGGGCTAGATTCTCGTCCTTATGGTTGTTGGCGCATGTTTCTGACACCGCAGTCTATCTGGTCAGATGTGCTTGACAGCAATTGCGAATTCGGGGACAGCATTTCTGTTGGTTCACGGGAAGTGATGCTGGTGCAATATGTCCGTTGCAAGGGACCAGGTGACACTCGAAGACCATGCAGGAGGTTTCGACCAAAGTATGCACAGCGCAAGCCAACACAAGGTTTCCGTCCCTGGACATCTTGTGGGTCAAATGGGAAAGAAAATTGGATTGACTGCAAAAGTGGGAAAGGCCGTTCGTGTGGACCCGTTGTCTCGCCAGTACCATGCAGATCCGTTTCAAATCCGTATGTACTGGCAGTCCCAAACTGGACTGACTCGGACTGACTGACTGATGAAGACCATCTTGAAACCGCGTCTCTGCCCGCTTCCAGGTCGCAACGTTGCGACAAAAGCTGGCTGAGTCGAGCGTGGAGCGCATTGCCAAGGAGGACGACGGGCAGGGGCGGAAGCAAGGGAACGGGTTAGCCACTGACAGCGTCGAGCTGCTGGCGGTTAGCGATAACCGGATTGGGTGTCTGCTGGCTGAGGCGCAACTGCTGAGTGAGGTGAGGTTTTTGAGCGCAGTGACTTAAAGGACTCTAATTGGTAGTTCTCTGACTGGACAAGCCTCGTGCGCGACGCTCCGGTACAACTGTCCCGAAAGGTTTTCGTGCTGTCCTAAAGCATTGGAGGCGCTCCTTGCTTTTGATCTTATCCAATTGTGTTTGAAGACTGTCAAACACGGTATCGACCTGGCAAGATTTTGCGATCGGCGCGCTGGCTTTGCTCCAAGTTCAGTTCCCCGATTCATTCCATCGAGGCGGAAAGGCGTGCTTGACAAGATACTGGACTCTTTTGTTCCAGGAGGTCGACCCTGGCGATCCATCTAGAGACCACGCCGACGAAGCTTCAGCACCCAGGCCCGAAGAACCCGGAAGCGAGGCTGCAGTCCGGAAAGTCCTGGCAGAGGTTCTGATGGACAATGCGCAGCTGCGGCGGGCGCTGAACAGCAGCCTGAGAGCGCTTTTCACGGCTCCCAAAACGCCGTTGGGCGGGGAAGAGAACGGGGTTGAAACAGCAAAGAGGAGCGGGATGCTCAGCCGATTCTTGCAATAGTAGGCAGCTTTCAGTGTTGCCAGTTACGCAGACAATTCAGAGGTTCTGTATGACGCCTGACGAAGCGCTTATAGCCCGCATCTGAAAAGGCATCTTGTAGATTCAAGCTTCTTGGCGCCTCCCATATGTGATTACATTGAATGGTCCTTTTTCGTAAAGGTACGTGCCTCTAACGTGCCGATACTGGTGTACCGTCAGGGCCGGGTTGATTGCTCGCAAGCGCACACAAAGTTTTTCCCTACGGCCAGCGGCCGTGAGCGGTGAACGGTCCAGCAGAAGCCGCACGCATCATGTGCAGGATACGGTTGTCAGGTCTGGGGGCTACTGCGCGGCTACAATTGTGCCAGAGCCGCGCGCAACGCTAGTCACTAGCTATAGTAGGCCGCTCGAAACAGCGATCGACGAGTGCAGTCGGATACAATGAATGCCCAAAGGCGGCCGGCCGCTCTCATTGCATAATGCAGCAGTGTAATAGTCATAGTACGTCGCCCTTTCTTAAGTTGATTAATCTCGGGGCCTAACGATCCATGCGCAGAAATTCAAGTGCATGAGCTGCCAGCAGGAACATACTGCCCATCTGTCATTCCATGCCATGTAGAGGACGTTTAAGCATGGGCGGCTGTGAGTCTGGGATCAGTTGTGAATGCATCCATGCATACTTCAAGCTAGATGATCGATAGCGAGCTAGGCTCATTATTGCATGGAGACGCATGCACCTATATGAACTTAAGCTTCAACGGGTCATGGTGGGCAATTCATAGTGGGCCGGACTAAGCACTGTAGGTTCAAGTTTCTCCATGGCAAAGCAATCGACTCTGCATCAAAAAGGGGCCCGCATGCACCAGTGAAAACGCCTCTATTGTACATACCCTAAACAACTATGAGCAACACGACCTGTCACACTCCTCTACTTGAAAGAGTTCAGGAAAAGGATTCCAACGACAACAGCACCTATGATGATCGGAATGCCACTGATGCCGTACAGGAGGCCGTAACCCTGCAGCGGAAGGAGAAAAAGAAGATCAGATTTCTATGAGACCGAAAGCGACTCCACAGTGTCAGAAGATACAGAACCGGCCTCGACAGAAAACTTTGACATGGCAGCTGCGCCACTCAGGTTGCACTCTTGAATACGGTGCTCTGCCTTCAAACGAAACGGAGGCAAGTCCACAAATCAATCAGCTCCCTCGCCCACAAGCTGGGTGACTCCTTATCGTGAAACAGAACATGCTTTCTCCTCCCAGAGTTCGATTCTGACACGAACTTAGCAGCTTGACCGAGAACCTTACCGAGTACAACCCCATCTATCTATGCAAACAGAAGCACGCACGCTGCATTTGTGTCCATAGTCCGACAGGACGCGAACCTTCGCTGAAGTCTCATCATGGACCATGGACTGACTTTCTGGGGCCTCAAGCAAAATCAGAGGCATTTCTGTGAACATCAAGCTGATGCAGATCTAAGAGCTCAAAAGCAGCACCAAATTGGATAACAATAACAATAACAACTCACGACGACGGGGTTCCCTTCTCCGATGTCCTTCTCCTTCTCTTGCAGCTCGTCGAGTTCCGGGATGGCGTCCCAGGCCATACGGTCCGACATCACACGGCGATCGACGCCAATGTCGGTCGTCTTAAAGTAAGGGGACTGGGTAGGTGCCGAGCGGCTGGGAAGTTCCTCCTGCAAAACATTCAGATCAGGGATGATAAAGCAGCAGCTTTGGAAGAACTTCGACCAAGAAGGAACGGGCTTTGTCTGAAGGCCATGTAGACAAAGACAAGATTCGAGCTGGGGCCGTCGCTTGGACCCATATAGGCGCTGGGCCGAGTCTGATGCTAGCCAGAAAAGGTGATCGGAACAGGTACGCCATTCAGACGAAGTGGCAAAGAGCGGACGATGGGACGTGTTACTTGCAAGTGAGACACCGCAGTCATTCAGTGAAGTGCATATTTGGAAAAAGGGGCACAGGCTACTGTTCGGCCATACTTTAATTCACTTTCTCGGTCAGGACGGCAGATTCGAATCCGCAACAAGTCGGCCCTGTTTAATAACCTTGAAGTCCCTGCCAAAATATCCAGTTCCTCAGCTTAGACGAACCCACTGTGCATCCCAAAAATCCTCAATGACGGACACTTTTAAAGACTTTTCAGCGTGTCTCCGGTCTTTGGTTATCGATGTGCTCTTCACTCACCACAATGGAGAATGTCCACAGCTTCGGTGTCCACTCAACGGTACAAATGCAAACACCAAAGCATTATATATTCCGCTCATAAGAGCCAAGAAGGAAGCTCACGTCCAAGTTCGGCCAGTTGAGCATCTCCTTCGTCAGCTCCCGCAGCACATATGCGTCGTCAGGAACGCGCCCCTCGTTAACCTGCGGGTTTGAAAGTGGATTGGGGGTCTACGTGAAGGGTATGCGGTAAAAGCAGACCTTGAAAGGAAGTCTCTTCCTTGACAACGCTCTAGATCGAGCTCTGACTGTCTACAGAAATGAGACATAGTGTGTACAGCAAGGCAGACCTCACGCACGCTCTTATTTGCGCGTAACGTGTCCGACAAGGGACAAAAGAGTTGTGAGAAATGAAAACGGAAGGGAGACTGCATGACTCACATCAAGCTATTCTCAGCTGTACTCGAAGCCCTAGCTTCACAAAGCATGATAAGTCAGGAAGGTGAAAAGGCTACGAGGAGAAACAGAACGACAAGGGCGGGGAAATCGCAATCCAACTATTGACCACAGCCCGTGTTTGCCCCTCGACGCTAAAGTGACAACGATATGCGAGAGAAGAAACAAGAACAAGGAAGCATGCAGGAACAGGGAACAGGATTGAAGACAAAAGTGCGACGCTTACATCGACGAGCGCTGCGGCTAGCTCCTCCCTTGACACCCCACTGTCGTCCTCAATGCCGTACTTCTCCCTTTGCTCTGCTAAGCGAGGGTCCTCAATCATGATGGTTAGCTTCACCTGCAAAGGCAAGGAACTCGTCAGCTTCTTACCCCCAGGTACCGTCACGAATGCGCCCCCGCCAATTCCTTCTGAGTTCCAACATGAATTGTACTCGTTCGGCGGATTGTTTTGCAAGAAAGAGCCGTTTTTATGAGTACGCTACCAAGGGATGCAAGGTACAATCTCGCGTCTGGAACAAAGGGGCCACCGCAGCGGCATGGGAAACAGCTGATGCAGCTTACCAAACATCTGATGAGACTTTGATGAGATCTCACCACTCGCGATGCGCGGGTCACTCATAGAAAGCTTTTGGAACATTAAGGCCTGCCAGGGGAAACTAATGCAGATGTAAGGCGGCTCATGCTTACCTCGTTGAACGGCATGTCTCGCTTGGTTCTGAGTGCTTTCAGCACCTGCCAATGAGAAAAGATCTGCATTCAGGAGGCTTCCAAACAAGCTGACATACCCTGTATGCAGGACCTGCACCCGGTGCAAGTGGTGCAGCTTGGACGGGCGCAGTGATTGTACGAAGCTTCCAGCGGACAATTGCCGATACATGCATTTAACTTCTGATAAGACCTGTCAGGGCTGCTTGACTGGCAAAGAAACACATCCCAGCAACCACCCATGGCTGACTTCCATATATTGTGTGTTGAACATTTTAAATGCACTGCCTGAGCGCAGCACAATCCTGATAGGAGATTTGTTGCAAGATGCTGCCCCCCCCATATGGTGACAGAAATTGCAACAATTGACAGTGGCCAAGCATCCAAGCCAACGTTTTTGAGATGTCCTACGCCATGAACATCCCTCCCAGCACCCATCCACAACTGACTATAAGAATTGGTGGCCAAAGTGCACCACTAAAAGCGGCGCCACAGAACCTTCCTTGTGCGGCATTCAATGCGAGCAATTGCAGAGCATTCAAGGAGACAAGTTCGGAGCCTTCGTGAAGAGGCTGAGGGGTCAAAGACAAGCGCTTTTCAAGAGCACTCACGTTCCGAATGGCGGCCATATCTCGCCTCTGCTCCTCTTCGCTGTACTCCTCGTCATCTTCATATTCCTCCTCTTCTGTGGCCACACCAGCGGTGGCAGACTCTCCCTGAGCCGCCTGCACTACCCCTCTCGTCCCTCTAATTGTCCTCTGTTTATTGGATTGAATGCTGCAATTTCCATGTGCTGCAAAACCCTTGCTCATGAAGCGCGTCACAGTGTGCCTACTTTTACATTGAGATGTTGAGAAAGAGGAGGGAAGCGCACTCTGAGTCGCAGTGGTCAAAGAAGGGTGACGTTTTGGGGTGGTGCCAAAGAAATGCCGCTGCGCACAGGCATTGTTAAGCAAAGCGGTACTCATCTTGGCTGGCTACAATTTCCACAACTCCGGCGTGAAGTAGTTGTTGACAAGAGGCCTTAGGAGTGGAGTTAAGCTCCAACAAGGACAGGGGTGAGTTCTTCGTAAGCTTGGAAGTTGGAACGTTCTCTGCGCAATCTCTTCATGCAAATGCTGCGCCCTTTCTGTCCTGAGTTCCAATTGTGGCTGCTCCGCATGCTCAAGCAGGCAGCAAGCTTCAAGGATCTGTCAACCTTAACGTTTATGGTTAACTTCACCGTTAAGGTGGTAAGA